ATATAAAGTTTTATACGGAAGGAAATATCAATCGCCGATACATTGGGATGACCTAAGCGAACAAAAGTTACTAGGGATGAAATTAATCCGAGCAAATGACCAACATCGTACAATGAATTAGAAAAAGGATGAAAACGGCCCAAAGTCGACAAAAAAGTTATGCGGATGTGAGAATAAAAGAATTAGAATTCCAAGTCAACGACAAGGTATTTTTGAAGGTGGCTCCTATGAAAGGTGTCGGGCATAAGGTTTGGAAGGAAAGGGAAGCTCAATTTGAGGTATATTAGACATATGAGATCTTAGAGAATATCGATGACGAGCCTATAAATTAACAATGCCACCGTCTCTCTCTCTTATTCACAATGTATTTAACGTGTCCATGTTTTGAAATTATATTGAAGATTCGAGCCACGTATTGAATAATGAGCCTCTAGATCTCCAAGTTGATATGAGTTATGAAGAAGGGCCAATACGGGTATTAGATCGAAAAGTTAAAAAGTTATGAAATAACAAGGTTCCATTAATGAAAGTATTATGGAAGAATCATAATATTGATGATGCTACATGGGAAAGAGAGGCTAAAATGAGAGCTCGATATCCCAAATTATTTATTTAGGAATTTTGAGGATGAAATTTTTATAAGGAAGAAAGGGTCTAATACTCGATACCCATTAAAACCATCATTAAATAAGTTTAAGGATGTTAAAGGCATATGGAAAATATTTTGTGGGCATGGAATAATCTCTAAAGGATTGTTAGAATATTCAAAGCGAGTTAAACATGTTAAATGTGCATGAAAAATGTTTTGTTTACATAAAGTATTTACTAGAGTGGTGTTAGATTATTTGATGCCTTTGGAATAATTATTTTAGTTGAATTTTTCAGTACATGAATAGTGGTTTTAAGTAAATTAATTATTTTAAGTACTTTAGAGGTGTATAAAAATTATCCAATGGATATAGAAAAATTGTTTAGATGTGTATGAATATACAATGAACTTAGGTGAATTTTTCTATACATAGGGAATATTTTCTATAGAAATAAGTATATTTTTACCCATGATAATTAATTAGAGGGCTTGAATAAGTATATAAAAATTCTATGAATGGTGAATAAATTCTTATAGGATGTGTTTGAATTTATTATGAAAAGATATGAATTTTTGAAAAGGTGTGGAATAAATTTTATAGAATTAGGGACCTAATTGCATAAAATTAAAAGTTTAAACTTTCAAATTAAATTAGAAATGAACTTTAGGAATTAAAAAGTTGTTAAAAAGCCTTTAAAGGAAGGGCCTAAAGTGATCAATTGCATAATTGAAGGACTTATGAAAGAGTAATTGAAGGAAAGATTAGTAAATTAAAGGACTAAAATTAAGCAAATTTTGAGAGAGATTTTCTCATATTTTGTTGCCACTTTCATCTCAATTATTTGGGTGTAATTAATGCATGCATAAATGGAGGGTTAGATGGAAGGATAAAAACTAAAGAAAGAATGAATAGTTAAGATGAAATCAATTAAAGGGCTAGGATTGAAAGCAAGATTAAGGGCTAAGATTAAACCAAATGAAGAGTGGAGATGGAGTCAATCAAGAAACAAAGTCTAACTAATTCTACCTATAAATATGGGAGGTAGGAAAATGGAAAAATAGTTGGAAAATTAGAAAACACAAGGCAAACTCTTGCAAATTTTCCATAAATCTTTGCCCAAATTCAGTCCTAAACACTTTCAAATACCTTAAATCATCTAATTAAGCCTATAATTTTAGTTAGAACACAAAGAATTCCAAGAAGGAAAAATCCCACACTTCGCCAAAACTTTGAGGATAAAAGGGGAAGAAGAAATTCCTAAACAACTCAACTTTTCAAGGTTTAATTAGAGCTATTTAGGTAAGTTAATCTCATTTACATCGAAGGAAGTTAGTGTATGCTAATTGTGTTTTTAGAACCCTAATTTTATGTTTAATTGAATTAATTTTAAAATTAGGGTTAAGGTTTTTAGTTAGATTAATTTGAGAAAAATGATTTTGGGTTAAAAAATCATGCAATTGAACTTAAAACATGTTAATTAGGCTTAAAATTGATGGAGAAAAATAAAAAATTCCTAAAGTTAGCACCCAAAAAAAGATGATTTTAGAGTTTTTGATTCTTTGATTTATTTGATGTTCTATTACTTGATTATGTGTTAGTTAGGTATGAATTGATGATTAGGTATGACAAATTGCATTAGAAATGTGAAAATTTTCCTTGGTTATCTTAAGGGTACATTCGGCCTAAACTAAGCAAAATTAGGATTTTGATTCTTTTATTTTCTTGATGAATTATTGGTTAATTTGGAGTTAATTAAGTATGAATTGATGAATAAAAATGAGAAATTTCATTGAAATTAAAAAATTAACCTACGTTACTCTAGATAGGGCTTCGACTCATTAGGCTTAATTTAGAGTTTTTACATACTAATTATCTTATGAATGCTTAATTGATTAATTTTTTTATATTAAAATGTAATTGAATGAATTGGCATGAAGAATTAACATGGAAATTGGAAAAATTTCCTAGCCTAATTAAATGACCTATTTGGCCAACATTAGGAAATTTAGGGTTTATGGTTTGTTTTATATAACTTGATTGCAATTTGGTTTATGTGTTGCCATTAGATATGAATGTGTGATTCCTATGTTATGAATTGGATGGCTTGTTGTGTATTGGCTTATGTTGGATCATGTTGCCTTTGTGAGGTTATGTAATGTTTATGTTAATGGTGCTATTATATGAAATGGTTTAGAATGAATTGGAATGACAATGCATGGTATGAATGTCATGATGCAATTATGATATTGAGATGTGCATCTTATTTATGGCATTTGATTTGACATGTAAGGTATAATGCATAAGCATAATGAATTTACATTAATGCACTAACATGAGAATTCATGGAAATGATTCAAAGTCATGAAAAGATTTTCTTCATGATTTTTCTAAAAGTATTTGAAAAATAATTTATGACTCAAGTGATGTTTTATGACTTCTTATGATTTATATGGCATATGAATTTCATGATTTATGCACGCCGAGTGTGTGTAGATGTATACCTTCATATGCTCGATAAGTCCGAGCGAGTGTGAACTAGTGCATTTAGATGCTTGACACCGAGCGGGTATCGAAGGGTGCCTTCGGATGCTCGGTAGTGGTCAAGTGTGTACGGATGCCTTTAGATACTCGGATCGAAGCTTGAAAGAAAAGGATTTTCAAAATGGTCATGACAAGGATTTTTGAAAAAGACATGAAAATGGTTTCTTATGTGCACTTTATATGCATATATTTACATCATGCATAGATTAACTTACCGAGCTTTCGTTCACCTAGTTTGTTATGGTATAGGTACTAAGGGTAAGGATGGTAATGTTTACATTTGAATCGATCACCGAAGGATATATATGGCACATATATCCCTCAATAATTAGTTTAAAGGTAAACATTGCCATCCCACATATATCTTAGATGGGGCTTTGGTTTTCGAGTGGACCTCCTTCACACGATCATGTTCTTAGTGCTCTCATATTATAGTTTACGTTCGGGTATGACGAGTTTCTTTTATCTAATAGTTAAAGCTATGAACAAGTAGAAAGATAGTTGAAAATGTGATGTAAATAGGTAAACAAACTATTTTTTGCGAGTATATGGCATTAAGTTGTTTTATATGTAAATAGGCATGGTTGTATATAACTAAAACTTGAAATAAATCGATACTTATTGAAATGACAGAGTTATGGTTAGCATTAGTTTCTTTTAATCAGCCCCTTATATGTTAATGTCAATAATAAAATGTGATCACTAAACTAATAAGAAAAATAATAATTATAAACGACAATTAATAAGGATAAAAGAAATTAGTTACCAAATAACAAGTAATTAATAAATAAATTTCTACCAATGAATAGAAAAAGATTTGAAAAAACCAAGCATCATAGATCCAAGTTCGTTTAGTCCAAACAACCTAAATAAAATGATAAAATGTGAAAAATTTATAGTGCATTTTGTATCGAAACGTAGGACCTATTTATCATTTATAGATTTTCGCAAGTGTAATCCATACCTAATAATGTTATAAAAATGTCTTGTTGGCTTGCATTTATTGCACTTTGAATGTAGGTCAATGATGGTAACATTCTCGACCTATGAGGTTTTAGGTTAGGGGTGTTACAACAAATTTCTCACTTTTAAACCTAAAACCACAAAAAAAAAAAAAAACCCATTTCAACCACTCGATTTGCAAAAAAACAAACGATTAAATTGAATAAAAAAATAAGAAGATAAGAAACTCAAATCACTTGGCGTAGAGATAATTAAAGAAGGCAGCTTTAGCACCACTAATATGGAGATTTACAATAGATAAAGGAGCAAAAAGTACTCTAACTTCTTCTTTCTAAGTACTAGCCATGACAGAGACTGAAAACAGTCTTCTCATTAGAAAAACGAAAAATACTTTTTAGTTGTAAAGAGAGGATGAAGAACATAGAAATGGATATAAAATTTTAGGAATAACCTTGATTCTTGTCCATGGCGTTCCTACTATTATACTATTTGCCATTTCTTCAATAATTCTAATGATGGTTTTCGACAAAGCGAGAATAATTTACAATGATAACATAATTTTAAAAAAAATATAAAAAAGATGATATATTAATTTATTTAATTGAAATGACTCCTATTTGATACATAGTATCTTATTATGTGAATTAAATTTAAAACTATTCTATTATAAAAAAAAATTTTAAATTACATTATTACAAAAAAAAAGAAAAAGAAAAAAAAACTCGCGATGGAGGAGTAAATTTTGGGTTTTTGTTTTGAAATGAGAACAGCAAATAACTATTGAGCATTAGGATTAACCGAAAGATTGGTACTACATATTTGTGGACTAGATTTAATACTGAAACAAACTACATCGAGAGGAAGGGAAAAAAAAGAAAAGAAAAGGAAGGGAGGGAAAAAAAGGAAATGGCTGCAGCAGCATGTTCTTCTTCTTCATCACTCATTTCAACAGGTTTCCTTCTCAATCACAACAAAAGCTGTCCATTTCCTTTTCAATCTCCAAAGAAAAAGGCAACAACACTGACTCTATCCTTCTCCAAATCCCACAATAATAAAATTTTGTTCCACAATCAGAAGCAAGATAAACTAGGTGTTAACAACGGCAGCAGCAAATTATTGAGGGATTCTTTTCTTGCAGTGTGTACGTCAGTGGCCTTATCATTCTCTCTGTTGATTGGGGATGTAGACTCTTCAGCTTTGGCTTTCGTAGTCACCACCACTACTCCTCGTAAATTGCAGTCCGATGAACTGGCTACTGTTCGCCTCTTTCAAGAGAACACTCCTTCCGTTGTTTACATTACCAATCTTGCTGCCAGGTCCAGTTTCTTTCTTATATTGTTTTGGTATTAATTTCTTGATTGATTCTGAAAATAAAAAAATCACAGACAAGATGCTTTTACACTGGACTTGCTGGAGGTGCCGCAAGGGTCAGGGTCCGGGTTCGTGTGGGACAAACAAGGTCACATTGTCACTAATTATCATGTCATTCGTGGTGCTTCTGATCTCAAGTAAAAGCTTGAATAGTATTACTGCATATATATATATATATATATATATATATATATATATATATATATATTTGTTTGATTATAATTGTTGAGTAAACAAGAGAAGCTCTTAACATTTTCTTTCTAAGCATCACTTCACATTTATTTTATTTACTTATTGTTGTTGCTAAAGCTGAAGCTACTAATTAATTTGTGTACCTTACTTAATTAGGGTCACTCTTGCTGATCAATCAACTTTGGATGCAAAAGTTGTTGGGTTTGATCAAGATAAGGATGTTGCTGTATTGCGAGTTGATTCACCCAAAGATAAGCTACGACCCATTCCTATTGGTGTCTCTGCTGATTTGCTTGTTGGTCAAAAAGTGTTTGCTATTGGCAACCCTGTGAGTGAGTTTGATTTTTTACACACTTCTTCCTTCTTCAAGAACAATATCTCTCTTTCCTAATCTTAATATGGTGAAGAAGGTTATTAAACCCAACTCTAGAATGTGAGTGGCATGTGGCATTGAATTATGAAATCTACATGCATTTTCTGTTAGAATTTTTCTCCCTTTTTTTTTTTTTTTTTTTTTTTAATCCTAAATTCTATCTATTTCTAATATATTTTGTGCCTTCATTTCTCCATTTCTTTTTTCCAAAAAAAAATTCATTCAACCCTGTTTTTGGAACAATGACAGCTCTTTTTTTGCTTTTTGTCTTTTGTTCTTTAAATGGTTTGGTTTTGATAAGTCTTGTTTCTGACTTGTTAAAACGTCTTATAAGCTCCTGATCTAGGCATTGAACATCATGCAATTGGACTACTAGTTTATTATAAAGCTTACCCTAATTGGCAATCCGATTTTCTGATTTCTCAGTTTGGACTTGACCATACTCTTACAACCGGCGTCATCAGGTATGAAACGCATCAGAATTTATTTATTGTGTTCGTTCCTATTATAACTTTTGGAGACACAACATGCAATCATTGAAACACCATAGGTTTTGACTATGATCTCTATCTTTGCTAATGCTCCAACAATTGGCTGCAATGTCTTTTAAAGCTGTGATTCAACTGAAAAGATTTGGAAATAGCATGTGTTTGAAATAAAAGATTAGATGGTGCTTTCTGTTTATTGTGTGGTGGAGATAGAAAGGTACATGTACACTCGTGATCACATATGATTTCGGCCATGCTACTAGTACTCACTCATATAAGAATAACAAACAAATAAATAAGAATGTAGGAATAAGATGCATGATTCTGGTTTTCATTTCATTGTTGATATACCCATATCTCTATGTATGAGACACCATTTATTTTGCTCTTTTATAGTGGTCTTCGTAGAGAAATCAGTTCAGCTGCTACTGGCCGTCCAATTCAGGATGTAATACAGACAGATGCTGCTATTAATCCTGGTAATAGTGGAGGGCCACTTCTTGATAGTTCAGGAAACCTTATTGGAATAAATACAGCCATATACTCTCCATCTGGTGCTTCCTCTGGTGTTGGATTTTCAATTCCAGTTGACACTGTGAGTCATAACTCGTGCCCTTGCTTTTTTGTTTTCACAATGAACTTTTGTTCTGACATTATAGCATTTAAGCAAAAGGCAAAAATTTTCTTCTTTTTTTTGCTTGTGAATAATTACTAATTCTCATTTCTGCGACGCTAGGTAAGTGGCATTGTTGATCAGTTGGTAAGGTTTGGAAAAGTAACGAGACCTATTTTGGGTATTAAATTTGCACCTGATCAATCTGTGGAGCAGTTGGGTGTAAGTGGAGTGCTTGTTTTAGATGCTCCTCCAAATGGTCCAGCTGGGAAAGCAGTATGTTTTATTCTTTCTTTTACATTGCTTCATAAAATTTTCTATTAAACCTTCCTTTTTATTTACTAGGTAAAATGTTATTGGGCTTCATGTCCTTCCTGATGTCAGTGTCATAAGAAATCTTAAGGTCTTCTACTTCCATTCATGCATGAATCTCTTTTCTGCAGGGTTTGCAATCAACCAAACGTGATGCATATGGCAGACTTATTTTGGGTGATATCATAACTTCTGTGAATGGAAAAAAGGTTGCAAATGGCAGTGACTTGTACAGAATTCTTGACCAATGTAAAGTTGGTGAGCAGGTATGATTATGCTTCTATTTTTTATTTTTGGTTGAGGATGGAGTTGGGTTTTAGGGGTAAGCTAGAGTGGTTTGCATTGTTTTCACTTTGGAGTTTAGTACTTTGAAAATTGCAATAGCAATTATGGGTTCCATTTGGTGTGACTTGTGCAAATTGATTCAAGTTGTTTTTTCACTTTTTGACTTAATTAAAAATTCTAAGCATGTTTGGTAGAAAGAACTTTTGACTTAAATCATAAGCTTGTTACAAAATCAAATCAAAATTTTGTTTTAATCAAAAGTATAAATTTGCAACTTTCGCTTATTGATTCTAATCATAGTTTTAACTAGTGATCGCGGTTGAAAAAAGATAGCGATCGAAATCGTGGATCGTGGCTTATCGTGACAATAAAATAATGGTTGCGACAATCAATGTCGTGAATATATTAACAACTCGTCAATAAATTTATTCTAGTTCATTTATTTTTAGTAGTTTTATTAATTAAGTATATTAACAAGTAATAACATTTTTAATAGTTAAATTTATTACAAAAAATAGTTATTAAAACTTTTAATAGATTAATATCACATAAAAATAATAAAAAATACATTATAATTTCAATTTATACATTACAAAATATTCATCTTCAAAAAGATCGTGGTGGAGGATCATAATAATAATTGTCCCTTTCATACTGCACTATACTCTCTTGTCTCACATAAGACGTGAGCTCTTATTTGCATTATCATCAACACCTTTTTGTTTTCGGATAAGAGAATTCATAATTTAATCCTTAAGCTGACTTTCTTTGACAACTTTATATTGTTTTGTGGCTTTGTAATTATTTAAGACTTTCATCATATCTCTTTTAACATCATTAGGAACACTTAAGCAACTAGCAATATTTCCTTCTTTTATTAGCTATATCTCCTTAATGCAAGTGATTCCTCTTTTAGCCACCTTTTCACAGAACTTGCATTTTAACTTGTTTGTACTTGCCATCCAATGAAATAGCAAATTCCCATCTAGTGTTTGCACTTGGAGGTTGTTATTGTTTTATTCTTTTTTTCTATCGTATGGCATTTTTTAGCACGTAGTAAGTTTGGAAAATAAAACAAATAATGTAAGTAATTAACTTAAATATTATTAGAAATTTAGAATTATGTAGGCCTAATGCAAATATTTATAATATTAAATTGCACAAAATAAAAGTATTCACTTAAAAAAAAATTCATTACCTATAAAATTAATAAAAAATTGATAAAATTACTTTAAGTTAAAAATTACCTTTATGAATTCTCTACTTAAACAAATATTTAATTTTTTTTATGTGATTTGGCAAATAATTTTTTATGTGATTTGGTAAGAATATGTGAACTATAAAATTTAAAATGAATTGAGACTTAAGATAAAGTTGACTGTTGAGACTTGAGTGTTCAAAGTTGAGGACTTAATGTTGAGGGCGTGAATTAGTGGAATGAGTGGAATCTGATATGAGATTTTAAATTGGTGAATGTTGCAAAATTCTTTCAATATTTGATTGTATGCAGTCAAATTCAAAGGCTGCCAAGTGACAGCCAAGCATTTTGAATTTGTTGGCACACAACCAAATTCGAAGGTTGCAATCTGCAAGCCAATGAATTTTGAAAGGAGTAAATTATACATTAGTCCTTCTAGTTTTGATAAATTTATCAATTGGTCTTTTATGTTTCAAAAAGTAACTATTTAATCTTTTTATAAGTGTTGATTATGTTTAGTGTAATATATTTTATTTCATAAAAATTTTTTTTTCTTCATCAATATTTTCATGATGTAAATTTATTTTTTAATTTTTAAAACAAAAAGAAAAAAATTTAGAAAATAACCTAAAATTGTAAAGAAGACTAAATAATAAGTTTTTAAAACAAGAATCAACTTTATTTTTCAAACTAAAGGAACTAATATATAATTTACTCAATTAAAGCCGACATTTGCTTTGCAGGACTTGGAATTATGCACGTAAGACAGAGTGAGTGAGTGACAGACAAAGTAGAATACTAAAGAGTAAATTATACATTAGTCCATCTAGTTTTGATAAATAAATAAATTAACTCTCAATTTTTTTAAAAACTAATTATTTAATTAGTATTGATCATGTTTAATATGATATATTTTATTCTATAATTTTTTCATCAATCTTTTCATGGTATAAATTTATTTTTTTTCTTTTTCTATTTTTTAAATTAAATAAATAAATAAATTAGATAATAATATAAAATGAACGAAATAACTAAATTATTGATTTTTGAAGTAAAGAGGACTAACTAAATTATTTTTTCAAAATAAAAGGATTAACTTTTAATTTATTCAATCAAACCATCAAAGCATTCTCTAAATTAATCACGTGGGTTGCAACTTGCAAGTAGGGTCTTTTGCCTCTATGTCGTTGAATTTCAACTGCTGAAATGATTTTTTTTTCTTTTAATATAAATTGTGTATTGTTGTTATATAAATGCAAATAACGATAATGTCGTTATTTGTTGTTATTTGTGTACATTGCTTTCGGGACACTCGTAATGCTGAATAACGGTAACGGGATGTCTCGTTACCGTTATACACATCCTGTTACCGTTATTCGACAGCCGTTATGTAACGTAACAGCTGTTTTTTAAAACTATGATTCTAATTTATACTTTCTTCACTCTTCAAAAAGTTGATTTGAGTCATTTTTTTGTGAATATATTTCTAACTTAACCATTTTTGTCATAAATTTTATGAAGATTAACTTTTAAATTATGATTCAAATTCAGAATTTAATTTTCATAAGTTATTGAAACAAATTATAAAATTATTCCATTTTTGTCTAGAGGTGAGGTAGAATGAAGTTCATGTGTGAAATCAACATATAAACAAGGTGAGCAAGAACACAATTCAACTTTAGATCCAATCAATTTTGGTAGGTTGTTAGTAAGGAGAAATCATTAAGTAGACTTAGTCTACCATATTAACTATTGAATAGGCAACCAATAAACAGAAGATACACAGATAAAATACAGTGGTCCCCAACCGATGGTGTATGCATTCCACTTGATATTGTCTGTTCATTTTGTGTTTATTTGGCGTAGTCTATGGGTGATGTGGTAGTCTTAGTTTACCTAATAATTGTTCATCAGGAAGAAAGTGGTCATGATGATATATCATAGACTGACGGTGGCGAAACGATCTCATCCCTTTGTGGTTGTGGTACAATTATCCTGGGAAAGATATCATTTAAAACCTGTCGTTGGGTCTTCCTGTATCCATGTACTTTACTGGATTCTTGGATGTTTTGCTGATGACTGTTGATTTGATAGACAAGTCACTAAGTTATGCAAACCTGAAGCTAGTTTAGTTAATGTATGACATTAAATTATTCTGATAGTTTATTGTTTGATGTCAAATTATTCTTATTCTCAGGTGACAGTGGAGGTGTTGCGTGGTGATCACAAGGAGAAGATTCCTGTAATGCTGGAACCAAAGCCTGACGAGTCTTAATTTGTAAAAGGTCTGGCCTGTATATTTGATGCAATACATAAAGGAGGGAATGCCATTATTTTGTGTATTAATTGTTTCGCAAGAACGGTTCTTGCTGTCCATATTTTATACACAAGTGTCTAAAGTCTAAACTGGTTGCAATGGCTAGTTTTGAAGCAAAACTACGGGGATTCACTCTCCAAGAATGTACCTTGTAAGTCTTAAAAGAATGCAGCCTCACAAACTTTCTTCGTCGCGGTCCTTGATATCAATGGTGTCAGAAATGGAAATGTAAGTCTCGTGAAGCAGTTCATGTAGAGTGAAATCACAACTTAATCTCCATGTCACCCATCGTTGACTATTCTTACTGCTGCATGGCATTTATCATTTATTGTCAGGTCAAGGTTCTGGTTTGACTATACAGAACTAGAATACTACCTTACCAATTACCATATGACTCCATTTTCCCTGGTCATCATTGCTCGTTTGGCCTGAAATTTTGGTGGGTGTTGGGTTAGTTACTCTGGCCAGGCTTCCATCAACGATTTAATTGTGGTGGATCAACATTGAAGTTGCTGATGAATGGTCAGGGTTGTTAAAAAAACTGCCCTCTTCGTTTGTTCAACTGTCAAGGACATCCAAATGTAAAGCAACCAGGATTTGAGTTAAAAAGTCGAATATCCGAATGAGAGGTTCAGGATTGACTGGGAGGGTAATTCCCAGTTTGAAGGAACTGCACAAAGTCGGGGTCCTCACTAGACTGCCATTTATGATTATCCTTGAATTGCCTGATCTAAGACTCATCCAGAATCACAGTTGGCATGGTATGGTTATAATTTCTTTCTTTTCATTTTTTTTTCTTTTTTGTATTTTTGTACGTGCTACAGGTACAGATTCTATAATCACTACTGATGATCAATTGATGTTTGTGTAGTAGGTTATATGTAACATATCAATGACTGATTAGCAAATTGGTAGAAGTACTAAGAACTAATGTTGTGATTTGTAGAAATAGTGATTCACCAATTAAGAACAATGAGTATAAGTAGTGAGAGGTGTGAGAGGAATAACAAGCAATATTAGCAAGACGTATATTAAGTGGTAGTCAAGCAATAGATAAGTGGGTTGTCATAGTTCAAATAGATAGAGTTTTGTGAGTTGTGTGATGTGAGGGTAAGAGAGCTTTTGGGAGAGTTTTGTTTGATACACGGTGAGCAAACATTCAAACCCCTTCATAATTGATGTGAGTTTGATAATTATATTAAAATTAGGAGGATGACTCTTCATTGTTAGATTTGTGTAATGTCATCTAAGTTTGGAAGGTAAAATTTGAGTCGAACAAAATATAATTACCATTTATTTGGATGATCAAATTCAATATATATGTATGCAATGAAAAAGTCTAAATAAACTAAATAATCTAAAATAAAACGTCAGCTTATCGTTCCAAACACTATTCACATACTCATAATTCACTATTTATTGATTTTTTACACTTTGGTCCTTGATCTTTGCCAGCTAATCTTTCGATCCACATCTTCATTTGCTCATCCATTTTGGTCTTTGGATGAGAGAAAAGGGAGGAGGGAAGAGAGAGACCGGAGGAGAGAGAAAATCATCGGCCAAGCTTATTTAGGCCGCTTTGGTCGACAAAAATCCACTAGATTTATTTATTTTTGAGAGATGAGTTTGTCCATAGTTGTTTCAAGCTATTAAACCATTAGAGGAGGTAGATCGGAGCCAAAAAAGAAAACAAAGTTTTGATTTGATTGTGTAATTTGTTTTTGTTTTTCTATGCATTAAAATGATTTTTAAGGTTTTAGATATGTTAATTGGTTTATTTCGATCATTTAGAGGTGTTTGGAGAAAAAAATGATGCCGGAATTCAATTTCTAGGGGTCCGAAACTTGAACCCCGACTTCCTAGCGAAGATTTCGACGACCTCGATCATCGGAAGTTGCAGCTTTTTTTATTTTTTTTTTGGCGACAGTCTCGTTCGGCCCAGGCTCGAAGCGCGGGCTCGGCCTAACGCCTGAGCTTGGCTGTTTTTTCTTCATTTTTTTTCCCTTCCGTTTCGGCTTAGGAAATTGTTATTTATTTTGGTCCTTTCATTCTTTTTTTTTTTTTTTTTTTAATTTTGGTCATTCAACTTTTTTGATCTTTGATTTTTATTCATATAAAAAATATTTAAATTTTATTATATGTGATTTTAATCCTTATAATCAAAATTTTTTTTAACTTTTAGTAAAAATTTATGTTTTTTTCTTGTTTTTTAATATGTTTTTATTTTAGTTATGAAAATTTTATCATATTTAATTTTTATCCTTACTATGCTAAAACTAAATAAAATTTACTATCCTAAGTTTTTTTTTTTTTTACCGAAATTTTCTTTCTATTCAAATTTCGTTTTGTTATTTTTTCTTTCTTTTCGTCATTAAATTTAGTAAATTTTTTTTTTAGTCTTTGTTTTGTAATTGTTTTTTAATTTGATAATTAAATTTTTTTCCTACAATGAACTATTTTTTACTTTTAATAAAACTTTTTGTTATATTTTGGTTTTTGTTTTATGATCTTTCATTTATTTTGATCATTAAACTTTTATTATATTTAATTATTAATCATTTTAAATTAAAATTAAATACATTTTAACTATCCTAAGTTTTTTTTTTTTAAGTGAAAATTTTTTTGTTTTGATTCTTATATTATTGATTTTTTTATTTTAATCATTAAAATTCTATAATGTTTACTTTTGTTCCTGCCTTATGCATAATGAAAATTTTTAATCTTATTATTTATAAGTATTTTTTATATGCTTTTAGTGAAAGTTTTATTTATTTATTTTTATCCTTTTATAATCTTTACTTTGTTTTAATCATTTAATTTTTATCATGTGTAATTTTATCTTTATTTTCTTTGCCAAGTTCTCGATTTGATAGAGCTTTTTTATCCTTTTGTTTTGAGCGATCTCTCTGTCTCAATAATAAATTACGGATGAATAATATATGGTAAAAATTAATCATCGAAAATTCAAAACTATCACATTATTATTTTAATTATCAGCTATTAATAAAATACATGTTTATAAAAAAATATCTAATTTGCAATATTATATTAATCAACTTCACAGCATTTTTCATTAGCTAACCCTATAGCAAATTATGAAATATATGTTTTAATTTTTTTTTAAATTATTTTCGCATGATATTGTCAAATAATGATTTGTGAATGTTAAATTTTATATTAATGAATGCATAAGACTCGATATATAATTTATCCCGCGGCAACGCGCGAGATATATGCTAGTACTAAACTATAGAAAAAGAAAACAAAGCAATGGGAGTGAGATTTAAATCAAGAGAGAAGATGCTAGGCTTTTGGTTCACCATTCCAATTAACATAGAATTTAAATTAAAATCTTTTCAAGACTAAATTCTATGTATGCTAAAGTGCTTGAAGTTCTATGAGATACTCTAGTTTGAGCAAAAATCTTTAATTTTACTTATCACTACTACTACATGAATTGAATTTGCGCATCTATGTATTTTCATTCAAATTCGTGGTATGCATTACCAGAAGGATTTACATAAAAATTACCTCTCAGTCTCATCTATGCATTTCAATTCATTCAAAAAGAGATCGATATTTGAAAAGTACTAAAAACAACAACTCATACTCATCATGGAAATGACCAAGTCTTACAGAATCATATAGTCAATGAATTTTACCTAATTTTGGATGGCTACACTATACCCTAACTAACATATTTATTTCATAAGAAAAAAAAAAGAAAAAAACCTCTTAATAGCCATAAACGACATGAAGAATTCAGTGAATCAAGAGCATAAATGAAATTCAAAAAAATAAAAATTCGAACAACAAATTATTCATGTTTGACCATTGGTTGATTTTGCAGCAAAGCTTATCTCCTCTTTTTTTGGTTACTTCTTTTTATTTAAATAAAACTCTCTCCCCTAATCTTGCTCCAATTTCCTCTTTTAATTGACATGATTAAGTCCACCTGCAACAAGACTATCTCCAGTTGAATGTTTGATTAGGAAATTATTCTGAAAATGCAAATTGCTAGCAGATTACGAGATTGGCCTGATTTTCTCATTGACTTGTTGTTTTATTCCTTTTATTTATTTTTTCTTTTTTAAGCCCCTTTAAATTAATTTTTCTTTGCTTGCTCCTACAAAAATAATAAAAAATCATGTAATATCATACATTAATTAGAAAAATTAACACTAACTAAGGGCTAAAATTGTAAGAAAATAAATGTAAAATTGAACCCTATCACTTTTATACCCAAGCAAGATAAAATCACATTCTTCAGGGCAGTCGTAGTGCCTTTATACCTTGTCAATGTAATCACTGATTCTCAAAGAAATAAAGTTGTAGGTTCCCGAGAGAACATAATTCCCAAAGAAATGGATTCCTTAGTGAGTGACTTCTTGGAAGAGCGTAGATTCCCAAAAGAATAGAATTCTCGGAGGAACGCTGCTGCATACTTCTGAAGGAACGAGTTTCCTAGAGGAATGGTTCTCGAAGGAACCTGGATTTTCAAAGGAATGTGGCTATGTGTTCTCGTAGGAACGTGGCCATAAGTTCTTAGAGGAATGAGATTTTTGCAGGAATGTGGATTATTGAAGGAACATGGTTATATATTCTTGAAGAAAGATGGTTGTATTGTAATATTCGATACCCGTTAAAATTGTCATTAAATAAGTTTGAGGATGATAAAGGCATATGAAAAATGTTTTGTGGGCATGGAATAATCACTAAGGGGTTGTTGGAATATTCATAGCAATTAAAATAGTTTTTCCAAGCTCGGTGAATATTTAACTGATTTTTCGATGAATGAATAATAACTTTATATGCAAAATAATTATTTTGGGTATTTTAAATGTGCATGTAAAATTTTCTGTTTGCATAGAATATTTGCTAGAGGGGTGTTAGATTATTCGGTGTTATTGGATGAATTTTTTGATATTCAATGATTATTTTATTTGAACTTTACGATGCATGAATAGTAGTTTCTAAGTAAATTAATTATTTTAGGTGCTTTAAAGGAATATGAAATTATCCAATAGATATAGAAAAATCATTTAGAAAGTGTAGGAATATTTCATGAACTTAGATATATTTTTCTATGCATAGGGAATGTTTTTTGTAGAAATAAGTGTATTTTTACACAAAATAATTAATTAAAAGGTTTAACCAAGTGTATAAAAATTATTTTAATGATGAATAAATTCTTATTGGAGGTATTTGAATTTATTGTGAAAAGAAATTAATTTTTGGAAAGGTGTGGAATAAATTTTATAGAATTAGAGACCTAATTGCATAAAATTAAAAATTTAAACTTTCAAATTAAATTAGGAATGAAATTGAGGAAGTGAAAAGTTGTTAGTAAAGTATTATAGGAAGGGCGTACAGGAATTAATTGAATAAATGGAGGGCTTGACGAAGACTAATTGTAGGAAAATTCTAGAATTGAGGGACTAAATTGGAGCAACTTATGGGAGAGATTTTTTTCCCTCTTTGCTGACTTAGTGCATTAATTAAGGGTGAATTTTCGTTAAATGGATGGCTAGGGTTGAACTAAATTGAGGGTTGAAATCAAAAGAAAAATAAAAGGCTAGGATTAAAAGCAAGATTAAGGGTTAAGATTAAACCAAATGAAGGGTGGAGATCAAGTCAAAAGTCCACCCAAGCTTACCTATAAATATGAATGAAAATGATACATAACAATGTTAGAACAATTAGAAATCACAAGGCAAACCTTTGCAAACTTTTCATAAACTTGTACCCAAATTCTCTCCTAAATAATTCTAAACACTCTAAATCACCTAATTAAGTATAGAATTCAAGCTAGAAAATCAAAAATCCCAAAGAGGAAAAGTTGGTGTATTGGTCGAAATTTAGAGGGCAAAAGGGCGATGGAGAGTTTGCCAAGCAATCCAACCTTTCAAGGGTTATTTTAGAGCTATTTAGGCAAGTTAATCTCATTTGCATCACAAGGAAGCATTATTGTATGTTAATTGTGATTTGGAACCCTAATTTTATGTTTAATTGAATTAATTTTGAAAATTAGGGTTAGAGCTCTTAGCTAGGTTAATTTGAAAAAAATGATTTTGAGTTAGAAAATCATGCAATTGAGCTTAAAGCATGTTAAAAATGATGGAGAAAAATAAAAATTTCTAAGGTTAAGAGAGAAAATATTTGACCATAATGCTCAAATTGAGGATTTTTGATGTTTTGAGTTGTTAAATGTTCTATTGCTTAATTATGTGTTATTTAAGCTTGCATTAATGATCTAGCATGAGAAATTACATAAAAATTGAAAAATTTCACATAATTAGCTTAAGCCCATATTCGACCCTAATTAGGTAAAAATTAGGGTTTCAATGCTTTTAGTTTCGATGGTTTAATTTGTTAATTTTAAGTTAGAATAATGTAACAAGATGAATTAGTATGAAAAGTGTCATTAGAATTGAAAATTTCCCTTTAGTTAACTTAAGCATACATTCGCCCTAATGGGCCCAACTTAGGGTTTTGAATGCAATTTGGTATTCCGATATCCAATTGGGTGATTTTGTGATGATTGAATTGCAATGAAAGTGTTTATGGTGTAAAATGTGATTTGTATGACATGTTTATATGTAATATACCTTGGTTGGATATTGACGTAAAATACCGTTATGGTTTTGTCAAGCGTAATGTGACCAATTGTGGTGCTTTGTGATGATGATTTATGCTGGCGTTGTGTATCGTGGATGAATGGATATACTTTACAAGGTGATATGCTATCGGCGATGCATTTTTATGTTATTGAGAATGGTGCCATTATGGTTTAAATGCACCTTATTTATGAAAAATTATTTAACATGTATTGCATAATGCTTAAGCATAATACTTTCATAATAAATGCATTAGCATGTTGATTCTTGAAAATGATTTAAAGTCATGAAAAGATTTTTTTCATGGTTTTTCCAAAAGCTTTGGAAAATAATTATGCTTCATGTGATATTTTATGAATTTTATGATTTATATGGCATATGGATTTCATGATTCATTCATGTCAAGCGGGTGTAGACGTACACCTTTAGATGCTCGACATGTCCGGGCGGGTGCGAACTAATGCTTTCGGATGCTCGATAAGTTTGAGTGGGTACGAACTAGTGCCTTTAGATGCTCGATATCGAATAGGTATCGACGGTGCCTTCGCATGCTTAATAGTGGTCAAGTGGGTACGGACGTATGCCTTCGGATACTCTCGATCGGACGCATCCAAGCATAAAAAAAATTTCTAAAATCGTCATGAAAAAGGATTTTTGGAAAGGGCATGAAAGTGGTTTTTTATATGCATATCATGTATGGATTAACTTATCGAGTTTTCGCTCACTTAGTTTCTTGTGGTGCAAGCACTAAGGGTAATGATGGCAATGTTCACCATTGAACCGATCATCGAGGGATCTATACGCCATATATATCTTGGATGAGGCTTCGATTTTCAAGTAGACCTCATTCATGTGATAATTTTGTTAATGCTCGACATTATAGTTTATATTCGGATATGACAAATTTCTTTTATCTACTAATTAAAGCAATTAACAAGTAGGCATATAGTTGAAAATATAATAAAAATAGCTAAATAAACCATTTTATAGTATATGACATTAAGCTGGTTTTTATGTAAATAGAAGTAGTTTGTATGCTAATCGAAATTTTGGACAAATCGATAGTAGTAAAAGGACCTAGCAATAGATAGCATCAATTTTTTTTAGTTAACACTTTACGTGTTAACGTTAATAATAAAATAGGATCATTAAATTAATAATAATAATAGTAATAATAATAAATGACAACTACTAAGGATAAAAGAAATTAGTTATCGAATAACGAGTAATTAATAAATAATTTTTTATCGATTAATAGAAAAAAATTTGGGAAAACCGAGCATCATAGATCCAGATCCAAATTATCTAAATAAAATGATGAAGCATGAAAAATTTATAGGGCATTTTGGATTGAAATGTAGGACCTATTTGTCATTTATAGGTTTTCACGACTTAGTCCATACCTAGTAATATCTTAAATAAGACACGATGCTTTGTTGGCTTGCATTCATTGTATTTCAAATGTAGGTCAACCGTGGTAATATTCTTGACCTATTAGGTCCCGAGTTAGGGGTACATATATGTTCCTAAAGGAACAAGATACTTAGAGGAATGTGATTTCTAGAAGAATGTGGCTATATGTTCTCGGAAGAGTATAGCTATAAGTTTATAAAGAAAAGATATTCATAGAGGAATGGACTCTTTAAAGAGTGTGTTCTTAGAGGAACATAGATTTCCAAAGGAATTGGATTCCTATAGGAATGAACTTTATAAGGAGCGAGTTTTTAAAACAATGTGGATTCCTAGAGGAATGTGGTGTATGTTCTCAAAAGAATGTGACTTCAAGTTCCAAGAGAAAAGAGATTCATACAAGAATGAGATTCTTGAAGGAATAGACTTGTTGAGGAGTGAGTTCTTGAAGGAATGTGGATTCTCGAAGTAATGGGATTGTTAGAGAAAGGGAGTAATTGAGGAGTGATTATTAGTATAGGTGCTTAAGATCAACCTTATTTGAATGAGTTTGACTTATTATATTATTGTATTATTTATGATAAAAAGTCTTTCTATTAATTCTTGTCATTTACATTTATTCATTGAAGAGAATTAGATAGAAGTCCATATAATATGCATTTGCATTAGTGATTGATCAAAAGATGTGAGATAAACACTAACACACATAAATGATCTCGTTAAATATCTCAAGTTAGTAGCATGGTCAAGAATGGACATTGACTATATATAAAAAGACTTGTGAGAGCTATGCTCATGCTATCGGATAGTAGCAGGAGATCTCACACCTATTGGTATGGTGATGCCAAAACAAGCACTTAGGTGATTTATACTAGAAAACATCTCACTAGACTTGACTTGCCATGTGAACCCATTTGGTTTAGTTTGTGGAAATCTCATATGAGATGGGTACAACTGGTCCTTAGACTCGAAGTCATTATGGTTTTCTCATTGGAGGATTTATGTACTTTGACACTCATTTCAATGGACCCGAGTAAAGGTTTGCACGTGGGCGATTTGTTAGGTACACTAGGAATCTAATGGAGGTAGGTGAATAAAAAATAGTACATGTCATTCCTTATACGCTAAAAGAGTTATCATATTTCACTTTAATGAATGACTACTCGGAAAATCTATGACTACGGTAGGAGTACACTAATAGAGTGTAATTGGTTTGCTCTAAAAGCTAAGGCATTTGGAAATTGAAGAAAACTTGTGTGATCATGATTGAATAAGACTAATAACCAAGTTCGAGCCGTAATAAGTTGACATAATGACTCGAATTGTATGATAACCATGCTCATGAAAGGTAATTATGGATTAATTAATCCTTTTAGAGAATTAGGTAGTCATGATGCCTTACTAGAGGCCAATCTTGATTTATGTATCAAGAGATAAAAGAGTGTTTTTTATTCTTAATACATTATTAACATATCTAGGAGCCTTTTGAGTCACACACATAAGTTTAAGAATTCACATGATTAAAGGGAAGCAAAGATGTTGGAAAAAGTTTCTAATTTTGAAAGTTTCCTATTTTGGAAAGGGTTTTTGAAAATGAAAAGTTTCCTAAAATGGAAAGCTTCCTATATTAGAAATCAATTTCCTAATTTGTAAGTTAGTTCCGGATTTGGAAGTAAATAATCTAAAATGGAAATTAGGTTCATAATTTAGGTTTAAGAGTAATTTGAGAAATTGATTCCTAAAGTGAGCCTCCTAAAATTATCTAACTTAATTAGTTTGGACGAGTCTAAATTAATTAATTGGGCAAAAATAGTTTTGGGCCAATAGGTTTAATTAAAAGCTCGAAAGATATTTTGGTGGGAGGATAAATATGAACTTTATTGGATAAGGATGAATATTTTAAAGATAAAGATCAAAAGCCCACATGTAATATAACTCCTAATCTTTGAAGAATTATGAAGTAATAACCTGGAGTCCTTTGAGGACTCATTGCCGCCCCTCTTTGTCTTTAGAGGACAAGAAAGCCTTTCCCCTATATATACGGGAGAGAGGTGCGACAAATATAAGGTTTTTAAGAGAGAGAAAATTTGGCAAAAGGAAAAAAAAAAGAAAAAAAAAGGAGGGCACATGGCATCAAGTCAAAAAAAGGGAAATAGTTTTCTCATAAAAACCCTAACACATGTCATCTCCTCTCTCTCTCTCTTTGGATTATCATAAAATTACCCTCATTAGATTTCTATAAGAAGCACTAAACAAGTCGGAAAAGGTGAAGCTAGCACTCTATCAATTTTGAGTACTTCTTTTGGCGATACTTGGATTGCGAGGATTATTGATAGAGTTCGAATACTTTGATGACTCTTTTTTGCATAAGTTAAAATTTATGTTACAAGAGGTAATTCTTATTTAAAGCTTTAATTCATGAATATATGATTAGTTGATTCAACGACATGATCTTGAGCCCTTTAGATGGAGAAACATTTTGTTTTATTCTCGCACCTTTATAGGATATATGAGCCTTCAAATAGTATCGAATCTTCATTGAATCTTTGATTGTATATTTTGTTAATTATATTTAAATACATAAATTAGCTATTCCCGATTATAAATATTATGTTCTTGGTTTTTTATATGAATTTAAAACTAAAATTTGGGTTAAAATTTATTACGGGCACACAAAGACAACATTGGATGTTGGTTCTCGGGCACACGAACAACCCCGGTAACGCGCAATAGGCTAGGCCTGCCGGCCGAGCGGTTGTGCGCTAGGCATACGACAAGTCGAGCCCACATGCGAGGTCGCAGGCCATGCGCTAACACACCGAGTTACCGACCATGGGCAAGTGTGCACGAGCATGCAAAGCCAAAGACCCGTAAGCCCTTAAAGCTCAAAACATCCATGGGCTCAAAGTGGGCATAAGGCTAGAAAAGTTTTAAAATTTAAATTTAGATAAATTTTGATAAATTCATAAAAAGACCAAAACATGGATTTATAATTACGATTTGAATGAAATGTATTTTATTAGTATGTTATGTATCAATGTGATTGAAGCATGGGTGAATGGTATGGATGAGTCGACTTAGTTTATGGGAAGGAATGTTTGTAATTTTTTGAAAAAGTGGGCCTAAGGCTAGAAAAGTTTTAAATTTAGATAAATTTTGATAAATTTATAAAAAGACCAAAACATGAATATATAATTACGATTTGAATGAAATCTATTTTATTAGTACGTCATGTATCAATGTGATTGAAGCATGGGTGAATGGTATGAATGAATCGACCTAGTTTATGGGAAGAAATGTTTGTAATTTTTTTGGATAAATAGGGCCTATGCGTCCTCGCTTTTTCTATTAATCTATTGTATTTTTCTTCTCATCTTACTCCCTTCGAATATAACTCAAGGTTTCTTATTCAAATAAATATAAAAGTAGAATATAAGAATTATAATAGATGTAAGGAGAAGAAGCCGAAGTGAAGATAAATCTTGAAGAATTTGTAATAATTTTTCACCTAGGTATTTGACCGACTAGTCTCTTTATGGATTGAGGGGACTAGTATTAGAGATCCATTACCATATTAAATCTTTCAAATTAAATATCAAGTTAATTGCCTTCCAATGTTATGAAGAGAGAACTCTCTTGGTCATTGTTTGCTTGTTGAGATAACTTAAGATCACTTATTCCTTAAAGAAACCAAATCGTCCGCCATGATGACCTTGAATGTTTAAGTCCAACTTAAAACGAGTTGTTAAGTTTCGAAGATAACTCAAGGTCTAATAAACTTGTAGCTAAAGATTGGTATTCATATAAGATATAAGATGATAAGGAGTTATCATGTCAATGAGATTAGGAATTACATTTGATGCAATTAGTAAGTTACCTACCTAATCCTTCATGTATGAATTGTTGAGATAACTCAAAGTTAATCCATGTTAGAGGATGGAATCTTAAACCCACTAAGGAAAACAAATCAAAACGTTTTCTCGAGTCCTATATCGAAGGTTATAAAACTTGAAGAATATAGTTGAAGCGAGCATAGATTTTACTTCTTTAATTTATGTTTTGTTTCATTTATGCAATTCAATTAATCAAATCGTATATTTTTCTATCCCGTCGATTACATAGTATGGTTGGTAACATATCGACACGATCGATCATTGATAGAAGTAATGCCTTTAATGACATAAACTTCCTTAACTAGAAAATGAATTTGAGGATAGTCTTCTAACATGAAAAGATTCTCTATATGATAGAGACACCCTCCCAGCTTGAGCCTTATCGGGATCAAGCTAAAGCTTATATAGCATGGCTCAAACATAGAGATGATGTGATCGTTACTCGGAGTATCATATTGGCTGTTATGATATTAGAGCATAGGCACCAACATAAAGGCATGAGTGCCTTTGATATCATAGTAAAGCTTAAGAGCTTGTTTGAAGAGAATACTAGGCATGAGCACTATGAGATGAGAGGAAGCTCTTTAGAGCTAGAATGGATAAGGGATCCAACTTCAAAAAGTATGTCACTAAGATGATAGGCTATATCGATTGGCCGGTCGAGCTTCAAGTTGGAATGGATGTTGAATTATCTATTAACCTAGTATTGCAATCATTGCCCAATAGCTTTGGACAATTTATTATGAACTTTAACATGATGTACATGGAAAAGACTCCTAGAGGGTTATTGTTAATGCTAAAGGAAACTTAGCCTCGAAATTAATAAGAAAAATAAGAGTTTTGTACTTCTTATTAATAAGAGAAAATGCATGGTGAATGGCAAGAAAAAGATCAAGAAAAAGAAGAAAAAGTCTTCAACTATGCCTACCGTAGGGTAAAAAAGCCCAAGCCTCAAAATAGCTAAATGATGCGGTTTGCTTTCATTACGGTAAGAAAGAGCATTGTAAGCACAACTATAAAGAGTACCTGAAAGAGGTAGAGAAAAGATTTCTACATCCACCTTAGGTATTTATGTTATTAAAGCTAATTTTTCTACTTTTAATCTCACCTCATGGGTATGTGATACTATATGTGATGCTCATATTTTTGAAATGTTCGAAGCTTAGAAAAGGAAGGAAGATAGCTTCGAGGGAGCATGACCTATATGACTACAATGGATCAAAAGTTGGACCATTAGTTGTATGTATTTATAAACTAGCACTACAATATAGGCTTGTGTTAAGGCTCATTAATTTTGTTTATTATCATTATTTCTAGTATAGACTAAGGATATTATTTTCATTTCTAGTTTGAAATAACTTTTTCATTTTATTTACGAATAATGATTATTCTTTTTAAAGATGAAGTTTTACATGAAAATTTTTTGATTGATAATAATTGTATGTTTTGAACATAACTTCCATACATGTAACATAAATGCTAAAAGACTCAAATGATCTAAATAATATGTATTTGTGACCTTGTCAAATTAGTTAGATAAACAAGAATCTAATCTACTTATAAATGGATACATAA